AAACACTTTATGGCTGGTTTTGAGGATAATATCAGTACAAAATAAACTGTTGGTTTGAAAAATCGGATAACTTGTTAGTGTGAGACTAATAACTTGAATGATAAACTAATTATTCATAACATTTAAAATATGTGGAGTATATACCGACGAGCGAACAAACGACACAAATAACTAGAAGACATATACAATGCAACATTCAGTCTTCGACAATAGCCAGATGTCTATATAATATGTTAAGCTAGACATCGAACCGAGTCGAACTTTGTGAAACTGATAATAGGAAATTCAAACTGGTGCGGAAATAAGTGGGTTTTTTTCTTCCTGCACACAATGCACTTTCACAAATTTACAAGTATAGAAATACTTAAACTTTAAAATGTGTTTGATTAAAAAAAAAAAAAAAAACCATATGTCAGATAGCAATTGAAATCACGAGATAGTACTTATAGACGGAAATATTATAAGTGTATTCCCTTATGGATGACAAACATAAAATTCAATGATGATACTTAAAAGTCAAGTATTTAGAACAGATATATAACTTAAACTTTTAACAAAGCAGAGACAATATATATTTGCTATCTGAAATAATGAAGAGTTTATTAATGTTGTAACATTCATTTTTATGCACGCCTACGATAGAAAGGGGTCGTGTGTTTTTTGTTCTGTGCGTCCGTCCGTCAGTCCGTCCGTCCCGTATCATGTTGAGGTTATCGTTTAGATAGTATACCATAGAGGTGTGATCACATCAGCATGAAATTTAGGACAATTGTTCTTCATAATGCGAATTGTAAATATTAGAAGGAAAGTAACGATTTTGACCGCGATTGCATAGTTCACTGAACATAGAAAAGGGATAGTTTGATACAGGTACATTCTCAGGTTAAAGATTTTGTTTAAAATAGTTTACCATGAAGTTTTGGTCACATCAACTTGTAACTTAGTACATAATTAGGTTCTTTCAGAGGTGAACTTTTAGAATTATATGATAAATTTTAACGGTTCATTGAAAATGAACATAGGATATAGCTACATGTGTGGGGCATGGTGTCCTATGAAGAAATGTTCTTGTAGTTCTATAAAAATGTAAATATGCATGTACATTTTTTTCTTATTTGCTCCTGCTTCGTCATTCATTCATATAAAAATAAACTTCAAAAATGACAACAACAGATATTTACAGTTATTTTTTATTTCAGTGTTTTACCTTACCATGTGAAAAAGTCCAGGCAACGTATATTGTCAATAACGTCATTTATGTTCAATGAAAAAGAAGTATGAACCAACTCGGGAAATATTGTTGCAAATCCAAGTACCAGTCTGAGATTAATAGACTTTTATACGAGCACTATCATTAAGGATTTATAATAAATACATATTATTATTTATACAACAAATCAATATCGATCACCAGCTAGAATAAACCCAACTTTTCTTTGACTTAATTTTGTTTTTCATTCTACTTATGAATCAAGCTTGATCAAAATATATTTGTGGTGGCCCCTTTTTGTACTGTACGTGAAAAAGGAATTTTGTGTACGCTTTTATTATTGCAACTTGCAACAATGAATCTACAACCTGAATTTTTATTTTTGAAAACACGGCCATATGATATTCTGTGTGTGTTGGTTTGTAGGTGGGTTATTATAGTAGAAGGATTTGTTAAGACAGAATATTCATTTAACAGGTTTCGCAGGTTTTCATTCATTAAGGGATAATTTATTTTTTTATTCTTCAGAATATTTATTTCAAGAATCCTCCTGTCCCCTTTCCCGAAAATCAAATAATTGTCCCTTACAGTATATAAAGATTTCATTTGTTACACATTTCTTATGAATTTAAAATTATACGTTTGGAAAAGATATTGTCCATGAAAGGTGAACAATGCTTAGACTGCCATGCATGATTATGAATTATGAGACTCAAAGATTCCATTTTTTTATCATTAAAATTTGCAAAACAATTTCACTTTGACCACCAAATGTTTTGGAATAGCCATGCAAAAATCGCTGCCTGTTTTGAAAAAAAAGTCACACACTCTTCGTTCTCTGTACATTTCATAGATGCAGTGTTGTACCATATTTGAATTATTAATTCATTTCCGGTTCTTTATGTCCCACGCTAACTTTTAATTGCATATACAGGACAACTATATGTCAATAAGAAGCGATTATTACAATGATTCTACTTGACCGACACGGTGGGCCGCGTGTTTAACATGCATGCTAGCCCACAAGGTAACAGCCAGCAGGAAGACAAGTCACCCATCTGTACACATAATCATGACTGCTGGACACGATGTACCAGACTTATCGAATACACCGATATAAAATATAATTTCGAATGGCTGTAATTTTAAAGTTATTTTGTTTCCATTGAGCCGGTTTTGAAACCTTCAACCCCTCCCGCTGCTCGCGGAAATTTACAATCTTTAATCATGAACCAACTGAAGGCAAACGACAGCCATGAAAGTAATATCTATCCTATACATTGATTTGAGGTATTTATATAAAACACTCCTAATAATATACACAGTCCATGTTTTGTTTCGTAAATTGCTTAAAATACATTAATCGATGATAATTGTGAACGGTTAAAAAAAAGAAGAGAAAATAGTAAAAAAAGTAAGGTATTTCTGTACGGAGATCTTGGACCTCACAGTTGATTTATACCACCATTAATCATTTTCTTTACAATAACATGAAAATTAAAATGTTTTCCGCTGTCTAACTTCATGCTGTTCATATTATTATTTTTATATTGAATAATGTCTTGTAAGTTGAATAATTGCCATTTGCAAGTGTTAAAATATAATTCTCGATTTAAAAGAAGTTAAAGTAATCTTAAAATGATCGTAAAGAGATGATATACAGAATATTTTGACTGCAACTGTTTAACCAGAGCTTGTTCAATATAAAAACAGATTGGACACGAAAAGAATAGAGAAAACTACCACGTGATCAACATTCCTTCTATGTTCTCTGCATTTGTACAGTTTAGCAAAGTTTCCAGCGCTTTGAAAGTTTAATGAGGAAAAACAGAAAACAGTTTTTTGTGTAAAGTGAAAAAGTAAAAAGGATAAATCAGTGATTGATTATGAATTTCAAAATGTTAGGGTTATCTTGAAAAGGGTGGGATCAGTTAATATTCAAATAGATGAAATACAACAAAAGTAAAAACAAAATGAAAAATTCTGAAGTAATGATTTATTGACATGTAACGAACATTTTACTGTTTACAAACGACATTTTAGTCTTATAAGAAGTGCCAAACTATATATGGCATATATCTGTATGAAAGAAAACTCAAATATACCAGGCATAATTTTGTACGCCAGACGCGATTTTCGTCTACAAACGACTCAGCAGTGACGCTCGATTCGAAACAGTTTTAAGGCCAAATAACGTACAAAGTTGAAGAGCATTGAGGGCCAAAACATCTGAAGGTTTTTTGACAAATACAGCCTAAGGTAATCTATTCCTGGGGTAGAAAATCCTTAGTATTTCAAACAATCTAAAGTGCATATGGCTGTTAGGAACGTGGATACTGCTTTGACTGATACTTTTGATAAAAAAAAAATTATAACCTACTTTATAAAACAAATTCGATACCAAGTTGATCACAGCCAAATATATCACAAATGCATCCATAAACCTTATTCATAATTCCACGTTAACAGGGAGATTTAATTTCATCACTTTATTCAATCATTACTGTCCTGTTTTAGGTTGTTTTTTGCGGCTGGTCGTATCAAAATGAAAAATTACACACACCATGTACATAAGATATTTTTATGTTGACCAGTTAAAATGATTTGAGTACAAATTTCACTCATTCATTCATTAGAATTTTTAAACTTTAATGCTTTTAAACACGAATGTCGATCTGGTAATTTTTCGCCAAACATCTTCCATTTTATTAAAACTAACAGACATCATTAGAGGCCATGATTATTCATTTCTTACTGATGTAGTATAATGTTTTATTGTGGTTGTTAGAGCCTTAAAAGACTTTAAAAATCAATGTTTTAAGCCATGTAAACCTTTCCCCGTGCTTGAGGTGTATGTTCTTCTGTATTTTTTAAGTTATGATGTATTTATTCTTGGGATGAATTCTCTTATGTGTATCACATCATTCTCTCAATTTTAGGCTAGCGTGTGTACCAAAATGTTTATAAGACGCACACCACATATTTTTGACCCTAATTCTTATCCAAGTAAAATTTTCAAAAGTTGCCAGTCAATATCTGTTCTACTAAGATCACCAGTCCTTCACCTTTCATTTGATACCTGAATTACTAAAATACATCCTACATAGTTTGATATTTACAACGACGCGAAGGAACTATTTTGTTTTAAATATGTACTACTTTCCGTATGTTCTTTTTTGACCGGGCCCGATTTGCTAGTGTTACATCTTATAAAGTCTATCCGAATCATTTTACAAAGAAAATACTCAAACCTATGCTAGGGGCCGTCTTAAACTTGCAGTGAGATGAGAGTTTTTTGCTCCTTGTTGAAGGCCTCCCTGTGACTTTGAGATGAATAACAGTAATAAAAACGCTGTTCCTTTGCTTTTTGTGTGTTTTTGTTGCGTATGTACTAATTTCGTGTCATGCATGGATACCCCATTTCCTTTGTTTTTGTTTTGTATATATGATAATGCAGCAATTAAGTCATGTAAAAAAAGTGGCAGATAAACATGGTATTCCAACATGGCAATAACAATCCTTACCCATTCAAAGCACATTTTTCAAGCCAAATTATTTCAAAAATACTTCAAATAATCTTCCAAAATCATGTATATTTCAAAGGATACTGCATATACATGAAAAAATAATACAGAGTCCCTATAAAATAACCTAAAGCTCTGTTCTCATGGGGTCAGGTTTTTTTGAATAATTTTCTTATTTACTCTTTAAAATGCAGCAAAATATAATTTTTAACTTTTCATTTTAGACATATAATTATATGATTTAATTGTAACTTTATCTAAAATTTAAACTGAAGATTAAAACTGAATTCCAACTCCCTGTTGAACAGAGCCCTCTTCATTTCTGGGGGTAAATATTGGATTCAAATTAGGAATTTCACACGTAAAAACATCATTAATATGATAGCCATATGCTTCGAAAAACTTGTCTCCTTTGTATTCCTCAGGAAAATATTCTTGGTCGCTTGAGCACTTGCCAACAAAAATAAATGCTGCTGATTCGCATGATAGTTGAAGTGAATCTGTCGCTTCGAAGCAAATCAATGATCCGCTATCTCCTTCTTCTGCAAATTCTGTTTCTTCTGGATTACCTTTTAAAAGATGAATACGACTTTTGAACTCCTCACCCTCCTTAACATATATAGATCCTTTATAAGTTCCTTTTGTTAATTTAGTTTTTGCGCCCCATTTATAAACTTTCATATTTTTCATTTCAGACTCGTTTGCAAGAGAAACCATTCCAGTTACAAGCTTATCTGTAGAATCTCGTAATCCATATCGACAATTTTCTTTCTTTTCTTCAAAAACCTTCACGAGTGATAAGTCAAGACATTTGGCGATTGAATCTTTCGACAGATCAGTAGCAAATACACTTTCTCCAACAGCGGCTTCCATAGTATCGGTGAAGACTTCTTTTTTCATTGGAATTACATGTGCGCATGTCGTAAAGTATATACTTCCATTACTGTCACGCACGAAAAACCCTAATGTTCCATATCCCTTGCTATGATCAGAAGATCTGTTTACTTTGCTGCCTTGTTTGAGGTGATAATTTAATACCTTTGGATGGCCTGGCCATGATTTTATTGAGAAGTCACAAATGGTTTCCGGCAAACATTGTTCAATATAACTACGAACATGTTCTTCTTCCTTAGTAAATATTTGCATCTCCCCATCCTTCATTGAAAAGGCAGAGACATCTGAATGCCTAAAGAAAAAGAAGGAAAAGTCAGTCATATCAATCTATTTGTTTTCATTTTTGTTTCGTGTTTTATTTGTAATCGTTTTTATATTGCTGTTACAAAATATTACAAATAAATATTTGACACTACCCGTAGCTGAAAAATGAAAGCAAAATTTCTAGTTGTTTCGATTGTTTTCAGAAACGGATTTGATACATATATATACGCTATATACGGTAGACACCATCCTCGTATCCGTAAATATAATTGTTCTCGTTAAAAAAATATTATACTTATGTTTCATTGTACCTTATATTTTAAGGATGTATTCTTCTGACGTTTCAGTCTCGTTGAAATCTCGTTCTGGAATTATTTCCAAAACATGTGATACAAGTGGAAAAATACCAATGAGTTTAATAAATATCATAATTAAACTTAACTCTGTGAAAAAATTGTGTATTTACAACAAGCAGTTTTTGAGTAATCAATTTTTCAAATTTTATTACCAATCACGTCAGTCTTTTTAGCCAAAATTTTGTGAAAATAGGTGAGGGGTACAAAAAATAATTTTACCAGAAACATGTACATCCCATATCCAGTCAGGGGCATTACTTAAACAAGTAACTTTTAAAATTACCTATACAAGTAATGTTGAAAACGAGGCTATTTTAAATATTACTTATATAAGTAATTTTTCTAAATATTATTTTTATGGGTGTCCAATTATACAGATTTAACTATCTTTAACAAATTTTCACAGTCATCTGGTTATTTTTCCCAAGAAATATAAAATCTAATCCTTCTGAAACACTAATTGCCTTTCTGACGCACTTATCTTTCATATCGACGCTTCTGGGTCAAAGATTGGTCTTTTGGGACTATTAAAATATCATTGTCATTGAAAATCTTGAAGGTAGACAGAGATAAATAGATAGAAACTTGTGATTTAGTTAAGACTTGAAGTTATTTATAATATGTAACCCAAAACAATTACATATGTTCCTTATATAAGTGTAATTACTAGTTCTTTCAATGATGTATAAAATAACTTATTCAAGTAATATTTTTGTCATTATTTTTAAAGTAACCCTTTATCTCTATACTCCTCTCAAATTTAATAAATTCTTAATTTTATGATATAAAATGATGTAAAAATTCATGAAAACTACATTTAGTCCATGATTCTATTAAAATTAAAGATAACTCTAATGAGTAATTTTATATTTTTTACAAACAAATATGACCTATATAAGTAACTAAAAAAAATAACTTGTTTAAGTAACGCCCCTGACTGATATCACTTTTTTCTTTTCAAATTTCTTAGATATGTATTTTGTCAATCATTTATAACAAAGAAGTTGAAATAATATGCATTTTGTTCTTAAAACAGAGAAAAATCACAAATTTACAAAATTGACAGCAATGTAAATTTGACACGAAAAAGCATCAAACTATGATAAAACTTTCTTATATTAACACCTACCTATAGTTTTTTTAAGTTAAATTTATTCAGATTGGTCCATTTCATCTTTATTGAAAGTATGAAAAAAAGTTTAATTGTGGAACTGTGATTTTTTTCACGGTAATAGCCCCAAAATGGGTAAAAATTGATGAAAAAATCGGAAAATCATCAAAATTGGGTACTTTCAAAGGGCCGTAGCAAAAACAGAAGTGCACCACCCTATGATTTTTTCTTCACCAATTATTTTTTAAAATCATATAAACCCAAAAATCAGGTTAAGAAAAAAAGTTTAATTGTAGAAATTTTTGGCTCCTCAGAGGTGTACATCCTTAAATATTGTAATGTCGTTAATAAAACCAAAATATTGAAAATGGTATATTAAATCTCGCGATATTGCTGATATTTTTCAACATTAAGGCTTCCATGTGTTATATTCTTACTAATTTATTAAAATTGTTCTTTCTTCTTCCTTATTTAGATACTAAATGATTACTTACGAATACTGCTGATTTCAATTAAATTCATTATGAAATTTGTTAGTATTCTTGTTTTTACTTTTTTTTTTTTTACGCGCCAATATTTAACTAACATATGAAACTACCTTAGCTAGTTTCCTGTAGCATACATTGATCATACCTTCCAAATTGTTTTCCTTTTTTTATTTGCTAGGTAGCTAGGCTGTGCAGGCTTTTATTGTGGGTTTTACTTTTATCATATATGGTGTAGTTAGGCAATATTTGTGCGCACTAAAAACGTGTTTATTCCTGCCACATTTTGTGTTTGTACCATATCAGGCTATTTTGACCATTTTTCGTTGTCGTTTGTCTTTTTCTATTTTTTGTTTTTATTTGTACGTATATATTTGTTTATAGTACTGTGGATGCATTATTATTTGTTTGATACCAATTTTCGTGGGTTTCGTGCATACAGGTGAACCACAAATTCAAATGTTCAACGAACGAAAATTGATACCAAAGAAAAATAAATAAATCAACAGTAGTCGAATGTTGATTGTTTGTGATGTATGATTTTGGTAATACCTGGGTTGTTTTCTATAAGCCAATGTCATGCGAAAAAAAATGATATCTGACCCTCTTTCTGTTGGGAGATAACAGTTTTTAAAGTTCAAATGTTAATAACCCTTCCCCTGGAAAAAGGATTTGAATAAACTATGAAGGTAGTTTTTTTACAGTTAATGGCTTTTTGCCCGGTATTTTTTTAATCTATACACGTTTATTTGGAGTTGTTATAGGAGATAATAAATAAACCGAGATAATATTAAAAACAGTGTAATGATGAGTTAATTCATATGTTTAAGATGAATTTGAAAGAAAATAACAAACTATGACTATTTGATGACCGTGAAATGTAGGCGACAGATATCAAAAGGACATACAAATAGGAACTACAGATCATATGCTTTGTAGTGCTTTTGTGGATCAATTACTAAGTTGTATGGTGTAATTGAACAATATATATTTTATTGAAAAAATACCTTTGCAGTAACACTTCGAGCTTATGGCATGCATAGTAATCTGTCTTATATGAAGGGAAAAACGATTCTAGTTTCTCCATTTTCTTTTTATATTGACCAATGTTAGAATCTGCTTCCTTTCCGTTAAGTGGTGTTTCCGTATGCATGGTTCTAATCTTTCTGTTTAGCTCTCTTACAGTATTGTATACCTGCTGTTCAGCAAATAGTGCAATTCTTTTCTCAATATCAGTTTCTTCATTAAAGAAAACACTGTGGTAAATCTCATTCGTCAATGCTGCCCCTTTGAGTTGGGTTTTAATTGTCCTGCTTACCATTCTGCGTTTCTCACTATTTGATGCTTGAGGAATTATGTATATTACGTTATCCCATTCCTTTGTTATATCTTTCAATAGGTCAAGGAGAATCACATCCTATATTAAAATTCAAAAGATTTAGAACATATCAAATTGCCTGTTCAGTTCCTAATCAACTGATGTTATCTGCTGTGTTGCTTATTTCATATCAGAATATTTTTATAAACGTATTTTGGTTATGTCATTAACAATGATTAACGACGGGAGAAGGACAGGATTGTGCCTAATGCTGTAGGCTACAAGGAAAATATAGGTGCCGTAATCTGCATAATGGGCTACCAAATCATCTTTGCGTCTGTAAAACTATTGCAACTTAACCATTTAGACCCCCTCGAAACGGTAAATCAAATAATATATTTTTGTTGTAAAATATTATCAGAATTAGATACCTTGTGAATAATTCATACAGACATTTATTTTAAGGCTATCTTTTTATATGAAATTAGATATGTGAAAATTATAGCATATATAAAACTGATTATACAAGTTATATGATCTAGTTTACACACTATATCATATGTATCAAAGATGACCATAGATTATTAAGATAAATGTATTTTTAGCAGATGTTCTGATATTATTTTATATGAGAAAAAGTTTTAAATCATTTACAACAATTTTAAATGAAATACCAACCTGCTTTGTTAATTCTCCCTTTGCATCAGTCGTTAGCATGCACACATAGAAAATAGGTTCATTTTTCCCCTTACGGACACTGCACCGCCAACGAATCCGTTCTTTTGCCCTTGAAGGGGACAAGAACGTTTCGACTTTTGTTTTTATAATGTGTTTGTCTTCAAATAGCAATGGGGGTTCTGTTTCGCTATCTGTAATGGCTATGACTAATATGGTTGGGCATAGGTGTAATTCAGGAACCTTTTCTTTTAGTATCTGAGGTTTGTCGTCGCAGTTAGATATCATCCATCTTTTGATGTTCTCAATTCTCGGAAAGGCGGTAGTTTTCAGTCTTATTTCACGAAATCCTATAAAGATCGGTTGGTGTCTGTAATAGAAAATGTTTAACTATTTTGAAGAACAAATCAATTAACTACTTGATTGTGTAAAATTGATACATTATCCATATGGTACTATGTATATATAGTTAAAATCAAAAGAATTGACGTGTATACCTTTTGGACTACAAATTGTCACTAAAAGAGTCAAAAATCAAAACACACGGTGATATTTTAATCGATAATTCGTAACGACTTCAAACGTGTTGTTGCAGTTGCCTTAGAAAACTGAAATGTTCTAATTATAATATAACATTTTCTAAGCATTGAATTACGTCATTTCCTCGCTTGATACCAGTGGGACATTCAAAACTCATAGCTCAAGAGAAACTGACAATGCCATGGCTTTCACAGAAAAGTAACGAAAAGAAAAAGAAGTTCACAAAACAATACATAGAAAGCTAGAGACTCAGCAACATGAACCCCACCGAACACGTGGTGTGATCTCAGGTGTTCCGAAAGGGTGAGCAAGTTCTGCTCTTCTAATGGAAACCGTTATGCTGCTCATCGAATGTATACATTCGGTGATGTTACAAATGATTAACGTGGTATGTTGGTTACGACAATTGGAACATATCCGAGGTAATCTGTGACATAGGTATTCTATAACGGTCAACCAACTCGTGATGATGGCGTACAAAAAGCTTTCACGGACTGACTTCAACTTCACCACTTTGAATTCTTGGTTTAATAGCTTCCCTGTTTTCAGCAACATTATATAAAGGAAATTGAAAGGATTACTTTAACTTAACCACTATGAACACTTATTTCAGAAGTGTTCTTGTAAGAATCATCAAGCAAATCATGATAGGAAACGCGAGCTTTGAAATATCATATCAACTGGGAGCTTCCGGGAATGTTGCTACATTTAATAGGAAAGTTCACAACTGAGATCATATTTTTTGTGGTCACTAGAAAATACCCGCGAAATATACTTTGGTTCATAATTTGAAGATATATAGTTCCCCGGAAGGAAAAGCTCCCGACGTGTAAAAATCTGTTGTTAAATTGCGTCAAGGGAAAGTGTTTCAGTGTAAGGTCAATCCGCATCTGATTCAAGCCGCACTTCTGTACCCATTTTAGACCAATAACCGAAGTAATCCCGCACCCTTTAGGGTATACTTTTTACTGAGCAGATCATAATACTTGCAGACAAAGCGGAAATGATGACGGCACGTACATTTTTGCTAATTTACCCAAAAATATTTCGCAACATGCTCCGTTCCGCAGAACAATATTTTTTGCACCCCCCTAACATTTAATCCTGAATCCGCACCTGATTTCTGGTGTTTCCGTGCTCAGAACCACCCCCATATATGAGTGGGCTGACAATTTGTTGCATTAATATATATATGGGGTGGGTCACATTCCAGCCGCACTTCGGTATTCATTGTTAACCGAAAACTGAAGTAATCCCCCCACCCGCTTCATGTTGAATTGATGCGGTTCCCCGGAAGGAAAAGCTCTTGACGTGTAAAAATCTGTTGTTAAATTGCTGAGAGCGTCTAGGGAATGTGTATCACAAAGTGTTTCAGTGTAAGGTAAATATTTACGTATCTGCTACGAAATAAGATTTAATTTTGCCGGGCAGACGTGCAATGACGGAAATGATGACGGCACGTAAATTTCAGAGCCGAACGTCGTGAAGGACGGTCGATCCGAACTGGCTTTTTTCCAATTTTAACCCCCAAATACCCCCCAAAAGATCTTGATATGAACACATAATAAACTACGCTGGTCATAACCCCTTCGTGCTATAAAACAATATTCGTGGATTTTCTGTGAAAGAAGAAAACGCGACACCCAATTTCAACTCTATGCATTTAGTAATATAGATGTTTTGTTCTCAATCGATCTTCATTGTCAATATTTAGATGTAAGTCAAGATCAGGACAGATTTATTTGTATATGTAGCATCCTTTCTCTCAAATTCAACTGAATAGATTGGTTCAACATAGTCGCCAAACTTTGAATTATTTTGTTAGAGGACATTTAGCTATTAAATACCGCATAAGCTATCTTCATTGTTAATCAATGTTTGTCTTATAAAAATTACACTATGGTTGATTGACTTTGCTGGGTGACGATTAATGATAGCAAAGAGAAATGGTGTATGCGTCAATGAAATACTACGATCAATCCATCAATACGTAAATGCTACTTTAAGGCCCTAAAATAAAGCATTGTTCATCACAAGATCAAGTTGTGATGCAGGTTTCATTTGTCTTCGTTAGATATTGTTCGGGTCTAATTAATTATTTAGAATTTTGTATATATATATATATATATGTAACACTCCCAAACGTGTCCATCCACCCAAAAAAAGTCTGATACCCCAAAACGTGTCTATTTCGCCCAAACGTGTCTGATTTCCCACCCCAAACGTGTCCGATAATTATTATTCGTCAAAACGTGTCCACTTTAAAACACCAGACATCTCAAAACTGTTAGCAATATTATGTACATAGTGACATCAATAACGTTTACGGCAATTTAAGGACGAGGGACACTTAAAGACGTCGGATTTTGGTTGCAGGATTCTAAAGCAAGACCAAACTCGCTATCCAAGAACATCTGGAGGAATGGGCTTGTGGTGCGTATAGACAAATGTCCAAGACATGGTCCACTATCCGCAGTGAAAGATGAAAGCACTGATTTCTGCTTTCACATAAACAGACACCAGATAAAAAAAAGAATGGCACAATAAAAAAAAATATATTTGCAGTGGTTTGAATTTTTTTTATCAATATGATTACTATTTTTTTAAATTTTAAATAGATGTACTTCACATTTAAGAAATCAAAAACGTTTTCCAAATGCTTCAACTATTGATTAAGTAGTCATTTATTAGCATTAGTTTATTCAATGCCGGTTGTTAGTATTAAGCATGATTGCAAGTTAATTTGCAATAGATGAATTAACTCTTGACTACCTAATGTCCAGTGGCCAATATTTCATGCATATTTAGAGCAAACATAAAAATTGTAATTCATTAGTTTTGTACAGTAAGTTCGTCGTTTACTAAGTGAATTAATTCGTGCTAATATACTCCGGTGATGCCTAACTATCTTAATTATATATGAGGGTATCACAAGTTCTGCTTCCTACAGAAGTATTTAACACAATATGTGATTACGAATCACTATATAATAACGGTGGACACGTTTTTGGTGTTTATAAAATATGGACACGATTAAGCGTTTGTAAAAGGGAGACGTTTCGGCCTCATATGGACACGTTTGAGGAATTGAACACGTTTGGGCGGGTTTATTTTTTTAAATGAACACGATGGGGCTTTCTTTAAAAGTACGCGCACGCTTTGGTGCCTTTTAGCAACTAAACATGTTTTGAAGTTCAGTAAAGTCATATAGATACGTTTAGGGGAATCGGACATGTTTCTGCGTGTTAAATATATAAGGTTGACGACATTTTCTTCGTGTTAGGAAAATGTATATCCAATTATTTATATCATCATTCAAGTAGAAATAAACGCTTAGTGTTTCTCTGCGGTGTTTATAGAAGCATATTATGTATATTGGAAATTAAAGGATAGAGAAAGTAAAACAAAACCACAAGTGCATCATAAATAACAATCGTAATTATTATTTCACTTACTGTGTATACGGAAGGTCACCTGACATGCAACCTAATACAAATCGTATAGATGTCTGACCAATTCCTCTGAACAAACGTTTTCCTTTCATCTGTTCTGCTGAATAAAGTATTCTATTTCGAAAAACGGAATCTAGATCATGATATGCGTACCGGGTGATTATTATCTGGTCCATATTATAAATGCTTTCAGTTTCAGAAACATATCCTGTTTCATCAATATAGTAAAGTTTTACTTGGAGTATATTGTCATGCGCCTCCTGTTTATTTATGATAATACCTTTTATGAATAAACCGTTATATAGAAAAAGAATCTTATCACCAGAGTAAAAATCATTAGTTCCATACATTTGTTGTCTGCGCATCATCGGGGCAAGAAGGTCAGTAGTGCTCTATAAAAAAGGACTTAACAATTAATCAGTTTTAATTACCAACAATAAGCATTTTAATTGTTATATATGAATTTGTAATTGTGTTCATTTTCTGCGATATTTATTTTCTTGAAATCATGTAGTATACCATCAAGAGTTGTTCCATAGAGACAAGTGTTTCTATTTCGAATGGAATGTACATGAAAGAAATATAATAATGAAATAAACACTTTTATAAAGTATGTGCGTCCAAAGCGGTTTTTCTTGATTTTCCTTCATCAAGAACGCTCACACATAAACATTTGAAGGACTGGGATGCGTAAATACACTGCAATATTATGCGATATATGACTAAAAAAAAACTTAAGTGTATCTAATAATTTAGCATAAAATGGATCTAAACAGAATATCAAATTTCTTATTTAATGATCGGCGGATTTTAAATTATATGTTATAAACTATTTTGGTACAGAGGCACTGATTACTGAACTGATGATACCCATTGGGTCTAATCACTCATCGGCAACTGTATCGACAAAGTGCTATTAAATAAAATAAACAATTTATAAAATCCGTGCGTTCAGAGCTTTACTTTTAAAAAATGAACAAGCTATGTGTACATTAAATTTTAAAACAATTTTATAATTGATCATTAGCACATTTCCTTTATTGTAATTCCTTAACAATCTTTTCAATTAGAGAATATAAACGAAATGCCATGCCCGATATAAACCATCGAGCCAATTTAAAGCTCCATCTTACATCATTTCATCAGAGATATTAATAAGAACCCAAGACACACAACTCTTAAATACAGTCTACATCATGCGGGAAGATAATAACGAATATTCCTTCTTCTGCATTTTCTTGAAAACATGTTAACAATCCCGAAACACTTTTTATTGAAGCAGTTGCGAAACCAAGTAATATCCGATCGTTTAACATCTATCTAGGATCAGCAATCGCAGATTAAATGCACACAATATGTTATGATATGTTCTAAATCAATTTCGAATTTTAGGACTTAACTACAGCTTTGCATAAATTTGTGCACTTAACTTTGACAGTAAGTTGAACAGTTAGTGTTCTAATTAATATGTCTGAGTTAAACTATATAGCTGTTTGTTGACAATTTAAAAAATCAAACTAACTAAGACATGTGTTACCTATGAACAAAGAAGAATTCCGTACAAATACTGATTTCTGTACCGTAAAATATTTTTAAGGTTTTTTTTTAATTTTACAAATTATTACAATAAAAAAATACAAACATCACTATCATTTAAAAACAATCGATATCTTTTGATCTGCCATACATTATCATTTGCTTTATAAATAAAGGGCTGAACTGTAAATAACTCTTTACAAAATGTAAAATAAAGTAGAATTATCAGCATAATTGTTGTTGGGATAGTAATTTAAATACAGAAATGTATCCGATGTCGGTCCTATTATAAGGAACTATTTTTTGACGTCATTTTCAACTAAAGACAAAGAAACGCTACCTTCGGGTAACGTTTACTTCGTATTAAAGTTTTATCTTATTAAAAATATAATAATTTAGACAATAAAACCACGAAGATGGCTACGTATTAATCTTCGTGTAGCCGATTCCTTATCAGATACAAAAATATGCCTGATTGATCAGGTCCGTTTTCCCATATAACTCATTTTGATTGCTATAAAATATTATGTTGAATAAACACATCTTAAAATGATACGGAATGTATTGTCATATGTTTAACTACCAATATTCTTTGGTTAATCAGATACAACAAATTTGCATGAAATCATTTGATGATCCTTCCTTGTATTTTACGCAAGTCCTTAGAGAAACGATACTGGAAGAATAAACGACACTTAAATTTAAAGAATTTCTGCGCTTAATTACGATTTTTGGATTCAGTACTTAATTAATTTGTACATTGGTTTTTTGTTTTTTATTGATTTTCTACTGTTGCCCTTCGTCCTCATATAATGTAATATTAGTATAAGGGAGTTTCATTTTTGTTTAATAAGAATTTATTTTATTTACAATTCTTAATTTATACAAACCGGTAATAACTCAAAAAAGTCTCTGGATCGTGGAAGTAAAATATTTCCCACGTTACGTAAGGCTGCATCAGTAATAGAATTTTCTTTGTCATATTGATTTACACTTTTGAAGACTTCAACAATGGAAGCCTGCGGTATCAAAGCAAATGTACTTTTTGATACTCTTTTAGACAGAAGAAAATGGTTAGCTGCATGAACTATTTCTAAACGGATTTTGTCGCTTCGGTTGTTTGTTATGCTTGCACGAACTTCTTTAACTATCACATGCTTCAGATCTGGGGTCAATAAGATATCACCGGCTTTCACTAATTTAGAATCCGTTATTTGTTCTTTTTTTATGCTCATATATCGATCAAAAGGTGTAAGAAATTCATGTATGTGTTGAAACAGTCTAACAGTTAGTGCTAGTAATAGTTCCAAACTAATGAGGGGACAACTGTCCATCATATACGTCTCTGCTAATGTTGCAAATCCATGAAATACGGTAGAACACCAATTGAAAGATCCAGCGCTAAAATGGTTTGAAACAGACCTAATTCTTTTGGGTTCTGCAGACATGGTATGATTCAAGTTCAATTCATCATGGTTGGAACATGTTTGTTTCAAGTTCTGATTCATATTCTTTCTCTATTTTTACCACCTGCAGTAACAAAATATAATTTTGTTTTAGATATTCTTTAGATACGATTGATTTTATCAATTAATTTAAAATGATAGATAAATTATATTAAAGCTAATATTTAGCGTTTCTTTTGTAATATCTATTTTACATTTTTATCAAATTATTATTTTGTGATAATGATAACTGAATACTGCATTATTTATAAAACCAAGTCTTCAACTTTTTAACGAACATTTTCATTTAGTTTAGTCTCAAAACTATCAGTTATTTAAGCCTTGAAATGGATAATATTAAAATAGTAAAATTCCATTCATATTATACTTATGCTTTGTAGTTTACTTGCATTGTATACTTCTGTCTTTAATTGTGGCTAGGTTTTTAGATATTGAATACCGGTTTTATTCTATGGCAGCGGAAGTTCTTATCGTATGTAATTCTACTGTTTTTGTTTTACTGTAAATCCCTTATGGAATCATCAGCTAATTTGTCAGTGCGTCGGTACTACATGATTTATAAAATACCTTTTTCAATTCGCCGTTGATAAATTACGAAATTATTAAAAAACAATGAGTCGAACTACCGGAGGCAAAGTTGACCTCAAATAATATATTTGATTATTTAACTCTACATGTGAAAGACTACAGTACTTTTATTATTTCGTACCTTTACATCTGATTAAAATTTTAGTTGAAGTGTTTTCTTTACTCAGAAACCTTTTTTAGACTTGGTATCTAGATTGTAAGTATAACCAAATACATTTACGATATGCACTTGCAATGTTTATTTATAATTGTATAAGTTAGATATGTTTTATATTGATATTCATGTTTAAGATACCAGTGTCTTTAGGTTATTAGAAGAATAAAGTCGGTTGATTTGACAGATCCCATGCATAGTTTTCGAATTATGAGGATTGCTTATTTCAAATGTTCTCTGAAATAATGCATAACACTTATATTTATCAATACATACATTTATGAATTACAGATTAAACTAATAAATAGCACATAATTCACTTCATAGTTGATGAACATGTTTTTGTGCAATACTTTAAAACACCTGAAACAAAAACCGGGCTCATAGTTATAATTTACAAAAAAGAAGATTTAATTATTTTAATTTTTTTCTGTTTATTAAATGATTCCTTACCTTCACAAATTGTATCAAATTCCTTAAGTTATTTCCTTTACTCAAGAATCGTTTTCATGCTACTTAGAATGTAGAGTGTAATATTATCTGCTTAAAACATATGACATGTTCAATATATCGACTTAATAAAATGTGATCGTTTTAAACGATATGTACTGACATTTTGCATTATCTATAATGATAAAAATGTAATCCATGACCGATAACCTTGAAGGCCGTACGGTGACCTATAGTTGCTAACTTTATACGTCATTTGTTATCTGGTTGAGGATTTTCCCATTGTCAATCTTATCATGTCTTCTTATTCTTTTATTTAAAAATGCAACCAATTATCTTGAAATTGGATGCGTTTTCTATCTTTTATAAATGCTGAATTTTATTTTTTTTTTTTCAGTAACACTTTCTCTTTTAAAGAGCGCTTCATATTATGCTTAGTTTTTCAATTTTAGATTTGTCATTTATGTTTTGTGGACTGTTGTATTCTTATTCTTTTTTGCTTTTCAAATGGCGTTGCCAGTCTTTCTTAAGTCAATTAAAATACGGTTTAACTCATTTGATCGATATATATTTTCATGGATTAAAATGAAAGATATGGTGTATCAATTCACAACAAACCAAAAACAAAATAATAGTCCTATTGTTGTTGTTTTTTGTCTGAACGTCATACTTGACTGTCCCTCTGGTATCTTTCACTTTCAAGACAGCTAGCCCCTAGCACCGGTATGAGCGGAAAAGGTGTACTGGGATCAACTTACCCTATCAGAGCACCTGACTTCGCCCCTTGTGTTTTATGGGATTTGTACTGCTCAGTCTTTAATTTTGGGTGTAGTGTTTTGTATATTATTTCTTTAAGTCGTATTTTTGTAATAGTATTGTCTTTTTTTTTAAACATTTGGTTTTTGATTGCATGAGTCGAAGAAAGACAATAAGGTATGTGGCTTACATAAAGATTACAAACAGAAATACAATAGTCTAACACTACACAGAAAACTAAGATTTAAGCATTATTAACTCATAAAACCTTGTTGACCCCCCCCCCCCCCCCCTTTCCCCCATCCCCCCTTCCCGGAAAAATTGGCATGATCCCACTTTTCTCCTTCAGCGTGAAGGGGGAAACCAGGTTCAAGACTATTTGTCCCCTTTAGGAGCACAAGTAGCTCATTGTCCTCCTCTTGTAGTTATGGGGCTGTGGATGGGGGTCTACAGTATAGAGAATAATGGCCAACAAATATAAAAAATAGAGAGAAATGGACCAAAAAAACGAAGAATAGCGAATAATGAGGTGCTTAAATATATAGTATAGAGAATAGAGAGCTAAAATTTAGAGGAAAATGGCCTAGAAAATTAAAGAATACAGAAATGAAGGACCCCTCCACCCCCCCCCCCCCCCCCTCCCCCCTAATCCATAACCTCAGTTATGTCGGCGACGGCAATTGGAAATCAATTACTAGTATCCATTAAAGGATAGTAATCTTCTTTAAATGTTACCAAATCATCATCGTATCATTATACATTCAATATCAGATGATTTATTTATATATATATATATGAAGCATAGTCTGATGTAGTGATCACATCCATTCTCCTCCGTGAACCCTTGGTATGTGTAACGTGACTTTCTGTAGTAGGTTGTAAAGGACATATGATATCTTCACATATTTAACGGGGCCACAGGGAGATGACCGCTTATTGTAGGGAGGGTTCCATCTCATTTGATATAATGTCATCAATTGATGTCTTGTTTGTGTGTTGCATTTGGTAATTATTTGCTGTCTTCGTACCATGGCCCAATACTCGTTTCATTTTACATTTAACCCACTACAAAATGGAATTGCTAATCAACGAAACATGACTGAATGACGCCATGAAATATAAGAGCGAAAACACCTTTTAGTTGAGAAAAATCAAATTTATCAAATTTGTAAAGGGGCATAACTCTAGAACGGTTTAAGTGACGCCACTAAAATTCGAACTTGATCTGTGTTTTGTGGTAATCAGCATTGTGTATAAGTTTCATAACATTTAATTTGGTTGAGACAAACTAAAGTTAGAGACCGGAAACCAAATTTGGGACGTACGGATGGAAGGATCAACGGACGTACAGACGGACAAGGGCAAAATTTAATGCCCCCTCTGCTACGGCGGGGACATAAAAAGTTTCAGTAACTCCAATATCTATCATAAAATCTTATTGACAATAAATACATATATTTCATTCATATAAACTTTTCCATTTTAAATCGCAGATGTGTGCTATATGGTCTGATGGAAATACACAAATCACATCAATTGTTGAATCTATAAATATATAGTGCAACTGTTCATGAAAACTTCCAGCATAGTTTGTATAATCCACAATTCCACAACTATTTGTAAGGTCCAAACCATGAGAGAATGAGGCCCCTTCAAGGGTAAAGTCTGGACCTTTAAAAAAATAAAATAACGTTAAATTGGTGTGAAAAAATGCAGATGCTCCTTTTGAAATTTATATAAAAGTAATACAGTTATAGGACAAACGCCAGATTTTGAGTTTCTTCAGCAAAATAGCCAGAACATTAACCAATTAACAGCTTATTAATAAATCATTTATTCAAACACTTGTTTATTTGTCTTCACAGCAGGAAATCTTCTGATTACCACAATATTTTAGATGACTGACCAGAAATGACCACATGTGTTCTATGTATTGTAAAAGTACTGTTCCACATAAATAGATTGTTATCAGAATCAGCTAGTGGCAAAATCTTCTGACTTTTGAATTTTTTATACACAAGACCCCATCCCCCCCTTTTTTTTAAGTTTTGGCAATGCAAACATTTGGATACAGAGTATTTGTGTTTAGTATTTTATTTTTATATTTAAGCGTATAACTAAATCTACAATATAAATATGTATAAGAAATGACAGATTTTGTAAAATATTTTTTGTATACTGGATTGAAACTTGAGAAGTTTTCGAATTTAATGTTCTGAAATACCTCAGAAATAATGGTGTCAAAAATCCAACACAAGTTTTAAAAATTTATAAAGTAGTTCAAAATTCATTTCACCAAAAAAAATCTTGACATTTTTAATATTTCCAGTTTTACAATTTGCTATTTGTCTAGCCTGCAAAATAAAGTCGCCAAAATTAATCTAGACATAACAATCCTTCTATGGGGAACGGATTTATATAAGTTCTTCTTGTTTCCAAATCCCTGTATTTCTATTGTAATTTGTGCACTTTTTAAAAATAAAATATTGTTTTGAAACTAAACTAATCCGTCTCTAGACGTGACATCAACATTTAACGTCAATATTTTGATAAATCTTCATAGAATTTATTTAACTAACAGACATATCTTCTATACAATGACAGCATCCAGAGAATTTCTTTTTTCAATATTTTACTGTTATAATTTTTTTTTTGCACTAATGTTATTATAAATTAACACTTTAAATTTTTCTAAATACTATGGATTTATAATTTCATGAATAGATTACCTTAACTGTATTATGCAAAACCTTTCGGAATTTTGGGTCCCAAATACTCTTCAACTTCATACTTTATTTTGACCTTACAACTTTTTTTATTCGAGCGTCACTGATGAGTCGTTTGTAGACTAAATGTGAGTCAAATGTTCAAAAGTTGATGCCTGGTATCTATGATGAGTTTATTAATACTTTCTGAGGTATTAGTTTTTCTTAGACATCTATAACTTTGTCGAAGCATTATTGAATGATATTATAAATAAGGTTTTTCAAGAACATGAGTAAAATTTATAACATTTGTATCAATTTTCCTTACTTAACTGATAAAAGGCTTTTTTAAAGTTATTATTTAGATTTAGTCTTAGGGTAAAGATTCTAAATATCA